GACCAGGCTTGGCTCAGACTTGAAATCCTCCTGTCACACCCTCCCACACTGCTAGGATTACATGCATACACCAACATGTCCAGGTGAATTTTTGCTGTTTGAAGTCACTGAAATCTGAGCTTATTGTTATTTTAGCAATTGTTATTACTTAGGAAAATTTAACCTATAGACTTATTTGAGTAATACTTCTCTTATATTTCCAGCTAATCTTTGGAACCATCTGGTGCAATCATTTGCTCTCTCCATAAATTTGTAAACAAAATTCCATGATTTTATGATATTCAAAAAGATCGTAAAAATGACTAAAGTTCCTTATCAGTCCAGCATTGCCTTTTCTTTTATCTCTGTCACATAGTATATGCATGGCTTAACGCAGATGAGTTTCTTATTCACTGGCATGGTGATACCCTGCTAGTGTAGATAGTAGTACCACATGCCACCATATTGCCTGTTTAAATTCATGCCTCCAACCTTAGCTGTTCCCACAGTGGGGAAGGGCAACTGAACCATAGCTGGGACCATAGTTCTATTTTGGAACCATCTATCTACCATGCACTAAATCATGCTGGTACCTCTGCTTCCTGTGGCCCTACTCTGTCAATAGATGCCATGTAGAGTCATGAGTCACCAAAGAGATTCTAATAGTCTTGGCCATTATAAAATATACCAACGTTTTGAACCTTGCTCAGGTAGATGGACATACACATCCAAAATTAATTCAAATATGTTAACCTGCAATGACATTATTATAGAAAAAGATACCCTTCTGAAAGGTGAATGGTGGACGACTCATAAATATGATGATTGGGTCTCTAAGAATATGATTGGAGGAAGACACTACAGGAAGAGGGACTATTCATCTAGATTTGAATGTGTTCAGGGAATAGTGACAGCACAGAGGCTGGACCAAGGTAGGGTCAGATGGGAAGTGAATTTTCATGAGGACTGAAGTCATATGGGATGTTATTTCAGAAAATGAGATGGTAAAGAAGGTGATAAAATGGTAACTTTGACCATTGAGTGACAGGAACCATCCCAAATGCAGCACCTTTGTAGACAGGATGTGAATTTCAACATCTCCTTTGTGTGATATATGACTTAGAATTCAGGCAGTCTTCAGTATATTAGATTGGAGAGGAGGGTCATGTTGAACTTTTAAACTACAAAGGAATAATAATTTGAAAAAGATCAACTCCTCTTCTCCCACGTTATTTCCTTTTCCATTCACAATTCCAAACATGATGCTGGCTTTAGGGCTGGAACTGTAGAGGAAACCTCAGTGTGGCTTACCTTCCTGTGTACCTCCTTCTAAATAAAATGATAGCCGTTGTTCCTGCTCAGGGTTTCAGATGCCGCAGGAAGCAGGTCTGCTTTGGAGTCAGATGAGAGAGTGAGAAAGAGAGAGGGAGATCGAAATCAACTCTTTAAGGGAAGCCTCAGAAGCGGATCCTTGATATTTGCTGCCTACCCACTGTTATCCACGCCACAGGATACCACAGGCTTGGGGGAGTTTTCTGCGAAGTTTGTGGGTAGTTGGTACATTCTCATTAATTAGGAAATTAGATTGTTGGCTATAAATTGGAGGGCGAGGAATGTCTTTATTTAAGGCCGAGGAAATGAAGCGTGGGAGGGTAGATGATAGCCAGGCTTTTACAGTAAATTGCGGTGGCTTGCTTGCCTTTCCTTTGGGGGTCACATTAACTTCGGCACCCTCAGAAGGCTGTTCCATCTTCCCAAGGATGGATTCATTTTACGCGATTTCCTGTGTGAGCATGATTCTGGGTAATATAAGTAACCTTATTGATTATAAGCCCACTTCTCTCCCCCCTAAAATTGCCCATCAGATTTTCTTGTTTAAAACTCAAACTTAAAACTCTATTTCTTTTGATCTCTAAACCAAGTCTCCTTAGACTTACCAGCTTGTGGCTAGTACATAATAAATTGTAATAGTATCTGTGCTCACTGGTGTAGTTCCAGACCTCTACTCTCCTTTTAGGTGATTTTTGCTTATTTTTCCTATTTTAACTCCCCTTGCTGGGTCCAAATCTAGGAAATCAGTTAGGGGAATTGCCTTACATGGCTGTCAGGACCCACTATATGAATATGGTGTTTGCATCCAAAAGGCTGGTACCAGGTGCTCCTTAAGATCTTTCAAATTCCATGTGGTGTAGCGATTCCTGCATTTCTCATGGTGGAGAAGTTACATTGGCTTGTGCATACGTGAGGAAAATGCCCCTCTTCCTCTTTGCAGTATGCTTGGCCTGTTGAGCCCTACAATAAGATTCTTTGTTCTTTTCAGCTTTCCCTGAAGTCCTTTCTACAAGATGGATACTGGGATCCAAACCTGAGGTAGACAAGAATTTGTTCTATAGTCATTGTTCTTCCTGAGCATGTGTGCAAAATCATTTTATTATTCTTTTCCAGGAACTTGTCCCAAAACAAATAATCCTAACAACTAAAGAAGAAGGACCAGGGTTCTTCACCATTCACTCATCAGGGATATATAAATCCCAACTTAGACTCAAGCTGGGTCCTTGCACGTTTAAGTTGCAAGTGTTCTTTTAACCCAGCGAGGAAAGATGTGTGAAAACCTTTCACCAGCATCTCACACATCCTTGTTGTTTGAAGAATGGGTTATCAGGACTGTTATCACATTTTCAGAATGTCATGCCAAATATTACTTTTGTAAATGGGGCAAGTTTTGTGGGAGCACCTCAGGGCATCTGCTCAATCTCTGGGGCTTTCACATCTAGGACAGAGTTGCAGCAGCAGGTCCTGTTCATTTTTCTTTGGTGGGAGACATGGGAGACATAGTACCTGACTTCCTGTGAGATTCTAAAACTCAGCCTCAAATACCTTTGTAAAAAAGCGGAAATCATAAAGAAATCAAAGTAAACCAGTTATTCTTTTCTTGGTCAAGGGGACAAGTAAGACATTCAGAATTTCTGAGGAATCTAGAGTGATCCAAATGTGTACTAAATCCAAATGAATAAATATTCCCTGCGTGTAGAGGAAGTAGATAGGCTGATGGGGTGAAGATGGTACACGAATTTAATGTGAAAATCTCTAATTAGAGATAATTTGTTTGCTTTGTATCCATTACTTTAGGTTTCAAGTACTTTACAGAAACTTATGTTTCAAAATTTTCTGGCCAAAATATGGTGTTTGCCCCTGTCACTGTTTAATACTAACATAAATGGAATGCTGTGAATCCGATGCCAGTTTTAGGAGGAAAGAGCAAATCAAGGTGTATTTTTAAAGGCCCATGCTTACATGCAATTCAGAACTTCTCATGATAGTGGGAAAGGAATAATCTAAAACATTCGCAGGGTCCTGCACGTAGATGAACAAAAGAAATTCCCTCAGTATACAACTTCTAGAAGAATAATTAAATAAGTGAAAAATTGGTAGTACTTTCATCTTGTATACTAACGTGCACATCTAAAGTAATAATTTGTCATTAATCTAGTTTATGTGGTAGCTCGTTGCATTCACCTGAAGCTCCTACCTCATTTGATCAGCCAACGGAGAGATCTTTGACCTGCTGCTTTGGACTGTAACCATCAAGCACATATGTCCTTGCCACAAACCCGTGTGTGCTAGTGTAATGGATTTCTGAGTGACAAAATAATACTGTTTAGAAGTGTTTTCTGAAGGGTTTGAATGTCTTGCAGAAATAATTACACGAACCACAAAATACCCAGTCTTCATGTTGTGGTTCATTAACATGAAATTCTGGAGTGTGGTGTATCACAGTAACTGCATTTTTTTCCCTTCCAATATTTAATGACTATAACTCTGCTGCAGAAGCCCGAGCCTTGAAAATGTGACACAAAATTTCAAGTGAGCAAATTTAAAGGATGTCTAAAAAGCTAGGATTGCTCTGTCTGCAAGCTTTTACTTAAAAGCACCCTGATTCTAGTCAGAAATACTTACATTGGCTTTATGTAGATATGCTATTTCCATTTTGTACCCAAATCTTGTTCTGGAATTCTTTTCATATAATAATGCTAGGATTTTAAGCATGGTTTCTCACCTTACATATTCTCAGCTCAGATTTGCTAAATGAAGTAGATTCCTCTTCCTCTCCCAATCTTGTCTGCTGTAAGGTAGGATCAGATCATTGGTCCACTTAAACCATGTCTATAGACTTACTCAAACCATAGAGAGCAAACCAACCAACTCAAGAATCTGAGTTTTACTGAGTTGCAGAAAATTGTGGAGTCCTTGTGAGAACCTATTAGAAGTGTGCTATGGTTTGTATGTGGTTTGATTGTGCCCCCCAGGGGTTCATGTCTTGCAAACTTGGTTATTCTCAGTGTGGGAATATAGGGAGACAGAATTAAATCTTTAAGAGGTGAGTCCAGTGGAAAGCAATCCGGTCACTTAGGGTGCTTCCTTTGGATGCAATTAATGTACTTCTTTTGGTACCTTGGTTAGTTCTCCTAAAAGAGTTGTCAGAAGAGGTCAAACCTGACCTTCTTTTCTGGCTGAGCATCCAGTCTCTACCTGTTCTCCCTTCTACTCACACATAGTCCTGTGTGATGTCAGATGTTGTGATGTGATGTAGCCAGTGGTCTCTCATTTGAGCCAGTACCATATGGTTTGGGTTTGGGGCCTCCAAAACTGTAAGCTAAATAAATATCTTTTTAAAAAATTAAATAAATTTTTATTTAAAGAATTTCACACGTGATTTTTTAAATACTCATCAAGGTCACTTTAATAAGGTTTTTTGTCTTTAAAACAGCCTTTTTAAAAAGAACTGGTACTTAATCCATTTGTTCCATCTCCCCACAATTCTTTTATCTCCACTTGAATTATGGACAATGACAACTTCAAAACTCCTGGGCTCTTATATCCAAATTTCTTCTGGCAATTTACATTTTGGAAGTCTAGAATTTCAATTGTATATAGTATTGGTCTTTTGTCACATGACCTAAATTCTATATTATTCCTTAACCATTCTAATATTAAAAGTCAACACTTTTCATTATTAGGCAAAATGTTACAGGTCTTACTGTCACCACTGTAAATGTTTACTGTGATAGAAGCATGCCTGTGTCTCACTGTTAGCCACATTGGTCAACTGTGGACACCAATCAACAGTGCCCATTCTAATCTAGATTGAGGATTTGTCTTTCCCTTATGAATTACTCCACCTCAAGTGTTTCATTATGGAAATAGAAAATTATTCCAAACTGTTTCCTTTTCTTATGGGATCATCCATTGTTTTCACCCACTTTTAATTGTGTCTACCTGCACTCTCTCTCTCTTGCATAGGATTAGCTTCTATCCTAGACATTCTTTGTAGCATCTCCAGCATCCTTCAGCAGGATGATGCTCTTAAGATTTTCTCCATTTGCTTCTAGAAATGCTGAGATTCTACCAAACACTTTTGAGCAGCTGCTTTTCAAACCTGCAATAATCGTGAGATTTTGTAGCAAAGGTATTTTAAGCATTAATAGGCCCAAAGGGAACAGAATTCTCATCCATGCTCTGGGGAATTAGTTTCCAGGAAGAATTAGATAATTTTTCATTTGCAGTTATTCTGTAGGTTGGTGTTGAAGTTTTAAAAACACTATCCTGACTGTATTTTTTGGAGACTTGAAACCTAAAGACATAAAAAAAATATCGATTTAAATTTGAGTTTTCAAATTCAAACTGTATATTTATGCTTGGAGAGTTAGGTAGTAGAGCCTAAAAGGACTTAGATATATAACTGTATAGATTAAAAATGCGTAATAATGCCCACAAGTGCCTTCATTAGTGTTTTTATTTGCCAAAATAACCCATCAAAAAGTACTTCCCTCTCTTCTTGTTGACAAGAGATTGTATTTTATTGATTGAAGAGTTTCCAGTAGAATCTAGATTAAATACAGTGGCTGTTTCTTAAGCTGTTTTGTAAAATTAAATTCCTATATAATGTAAGTTCAATGCACAAGAAATTTTATTCTGGGCTTGGATGGTTCTATGTTTTATGGGTGGCAGGAACCCCTGGGATTTGTATCCTTAGTAAACGTGGAGTTGCATTGACATCTCCCATTTGATTTGTGTAAGTCTGTCCCACTAGCTTCTATTTCAGAAATGATCTTCCCAACGTGCCATTACGCACATATCATTGCTTAAAATTCCTGTGATTTCTCCTGGCTGCAAGATACAGCTCTTACCTTTAGCACTGTTTACACCAAGTGGCACCAAGGCTGTATATTCCATTACTACCTTCTATCCTGCTCCCAGACCCCCGCGTGGGAGGAGAGGGAGGCACCTCACGGTGGAAGTGAAATCCATGCAATCTTCTCTGCCTGGTGTATTTTGACTGAAGAAGACAGCATGTAATGGCATCTTTCTGAATGTTAAACAGAGACCCTTGTTACCTCCTCTGTTCTCTAATAGAGAAAGCAAAAATTTTCCTGTTAAGGACTATGATGTTCCTTTATGTTCCTCAGAGGAGATCCTTAAGTTTTATGTAAATCAGTTTTGTTGTTGTTTGTTTTCTTTTAATTTTGTTTTTTTAGATCCATGGCCTTTACTCCTAAGTTTGGCCATAGAATATCTGCCTTTTGAAGGGATATCAGGTTTTTCCTCTTCTTTTAGCCACCCTCATAATATAGAAATGTATTTATGTGAAGGAAGTTACATCTAAACCAAATCATTAAGAGTACAAAACCATTATCTTTGGAGTTGGAGGACAGGGCCGATTGAAAATTTCCCTTTCTCTGTTCACCGGTTAACTCAGGATGGCGAGGGAATCGGAATGTAGGATGCAACCAGTTTAGGATGCTTCTGCGTAGCTGTAAGACCAACTAAAAATGAGTTAAATTTCCTTTTCCAAGAAATTATTACACTCTGAGTTGAGTGAACAGTCTCACCTTTGCCCTCTGCCCATTTGCTCCAAAGCATGTGTGCCTGAGATCTGGAAGTTCACTAACACTTCACTGTGAGGGAGAAAAACAGAACAGTGCGCCAGGGAGCAGGCTAGGACAAGGGGTCAGATCGCTGACCCGGATTTGGGGGTTGGGGTTTGTTGACCAACTTCACAGGGTCCTGCCTGGCGCACTGACCTGGGTGGCAAGCGATTGGGGGTTGTGCGCCCTCTGCTGGACAGAGCCATGATGCGGCCATCCCGAAGCACCTAGTTAATGAGCAGTTTTTTCTAACATGGGCAGATTTTCCTCTAAGGGTTGTTGCTCTGGCAGTATAAGAACGATTGTGAAAAATGCAACCTTGAATTGTTTAGCTAAATTTTAAATGAAATCTGAAGGAGCAAAGCAGAACTTATTTTATATTCTATTCAACGAACTTGCAGCCACAGGTCCTCAGAGCTTGATAGGTGGTTTCGAACTTGTTCTATGACATTTAGCTCAGTGGCGCCCTAGACCAGCGAGACTGTGTTAGCTTTTGGAGTGGTTGGAATCCCAAGACGAACTGCCTATTGGTTCATCTTTCCATTCAACACATCCCACCTTCTTAGGATGGTGGCAGATTTGGTATATTTGTATGGTTTCATTGATATTTCATATAGATTTTCTTAAGTCAGTATTCTAATTTCATAATTTAAATTTTATTTGAATTTTCTACATTTGTTTGTTTATCTATTTTTGCAGTGCTGGAAATTGAACCCAGGGGTCTGTACAAGCTTGGGAAGTACTCTACCACTGAACTGCATCTCTGGCCCTATTTATTTGTGTCAGACATTAATGGCTACTTACTATATACAGACATTGTGTAGTGTGAGGAGCTCTAGGAAACTGGGATGGAGAACTACCTGGAATGTTGAGAGCTCAGTCTCCAGGACTTGCCACCCAGAATGGCAATAATAAAGGAAAGGATACAGTGTTGGGATGGGGTAGCCAAGTAATGGTAATGACATGGCAAAGCTTAGGATGAGCTTCGTAAGGTGTTAAGGCGTGACTGTTGAAAGACGCTTGTGTCTGCCAGATGGAGCATGGCAGATGCTAGATGGTTGAGAGAAGACGAGAGTCATTTTAGAAGCTGGAATCCAAGGAGCAGAACATGGGGAGAGTGAGGCCAGAATGATGGGTGCGAGGCGGAGGCAAAAAGCATTGCTGTCTGGTATGCTGAACAGATTGGGCTGCGTCCAATCAAAGGATGAAAGTCGTGGAAGGACTGTATCTGGAGGGTGTGCTGACTGCTGTTTCCTTAGTAAAGTTGTCAGGAAGGTAGAGAGGATAAACGGGAGCATGTCTGAACACCAGCAGGAAGTTATCTAGCTTCTGTTAAAGGAGAAAGAAGATGCAAAGGAAGAGCAGTGAGGTAGTGACTTGGAAAAAGAAAGACCTGGAAAACCTTTCAAGAGGCAAAAGTGGTTGGATGCAGAAGGAGGTGGAATGAAGGGAGACTTGAAATAAGATAGAGATGTTTGGATGAACAGAAAAGAGTTTGGAGTCACAGTCAGGACTTGCACTTTGGGCCTGCTGTGCTTGATGCGACACCATGTAAAGTCACCCACTCAGTAATGGAGCTAAGGGTATTAAGCTCAGAAGAGGAAGCTGCTAAGTGGGAAGCCTAGGGATCTGCCAGTATGGAGCCTGAGGTTTCTAGGAGAGCATCTAGGAAGAGTCTCTGAATAGGGAGAGCAGGATAGAGGCAAAAGAGCTTCATCTCAGGTCTCAGTGAGCAACCCATTGCAAAGTATGATTTTCCAAAGAAGATTTGTTTGCTCTTGAACTTTACATGTTCAAGGTATTATCATAGAGCCTGGCAACTTAAGCATCTTTTATTTAATGTCATCTTCTATTTAATGTCATCTCTTATTTAATGGTCTCAAAAAATCATATTAAATCAGAAATGACTTAAAAATAAACTTAGATGAACTTGATCTTTGTAAGTTATATTCAAGCCAAAGGGTTAAGTTATACACTTAGAAAGTACCAGAGATTGAGTTCATTTTGGGTGGGCTTCGGAATGGAAGCATGGAAATAAATTTAATTTCTTTTAATCTTGAAGAGAAATAAACATTTCCTTTTATTTATATTCATATCCAAAACTAGCTCTGAAAAGGGCCTAGAATTTAACCTTTTAAGAAGGAGGGTTGATTTTAGAGATCATGTAAAATATGTTTTACAGATTAAGAAACTATACAGAAAAGTTGAAAAACACTTGAAGGAATTCTTTCATGTCTTGTTTTGGAGATTCATAATTCACATTGTTATTGAAAGACTCTGAGAAGTTCTGCAGGAAAGAAAATATTCATTTTGTTTAACCTAGAATTTCCTACTCTTACCTGATTACCAACTCAATATTTTCCAGAAATTAGTTAATAATACTTAAATGTTTCCTTTATAATTAAATGGAACAGTGCAAGACTTCAAATTATTCGTCTCCAAGCTCAGCTCGTTTAGTGAACATTTATTGAGACTCTGATGTTGTAGGCATCATGTTAGATCTTAGAGGTGTACATATTATTCATAATAATAACACTGAGAATAATAGTAGCTAAAATTTGTTGAGTGCGTGTTAGGTGTCAGAAAAGTTGCTACATATTTTACATAAGTCATCTCATTTTAACTCTTATAATGAGTGATGGAATCACTATTTTTCATTTTAAAGGTGAACAAATTAAGGCCCTGAGAGACAAAGTGATTGCCCTATGGTCATAGACCTATGGACTCCCAGAACTGGGGTTCCGATGTGGTCTCTCCCTCATCTGACTGCTCATATTTTTACTCACCACAGCGCTGTCCTGGGAGAATTTATGGCTTAAATAATGTCCATAAACATTACCAAGACAGGTTTTAGATGTTCTGATTTGAGGATCTCCAACATGTGACTTTTCATTTTAATCCCTGACGCTCCGCATTCCTCTGGAGAGCGTTCTTAATTTAGCAATCAGCACAGCCCCCTTTTCTCTGAATCTGATGCTCTTGCTATCAAGAAGCCCTTTGTTGGAAAACAGGATCTTGTTTCTTCCAGATTACATAATGCAACATGTATGAAGTAGATCAGGATATAGCTAATTTACAACTTTCCTGTATGGTTCCTGAATATTCCTTTTTCATTTTTTTAAGTGGGAAAAAATGAGCACTATATTTTAAATCTTCTTTATACACTCTAGGCAGTACTTAAACGTTTAACTCTTAGCAATTTGTGTTTTTAATGGAATAGGGTTTTC